ACCAGGTGGCTCACTCCTGTTTGTACAAACTCAAATGGAGCTGATGTTGTGTTCTGTATGATATATAATATATATTATACAATACAATGTATCTAATATAATGTATTAGGTGTTATTTTATATCATATATAATAGATACACACAATTAGATAATAGATATAATGTATTATATATATAAAATTACAGTTATATAATATGTCACATCATGTAATGTATTGCTACATTATGTATTATGTATTAATGTATTATTATTGTGTTGTTATATTATGTCATATATAATGTATATATGACATAATGTATATATTATACATTATTATATATTATTGTACATAATATATAATGTATATATTATATAACTATATTATATATAGTTATATAATATATTTTACATATATGTATAATGATATAATATATAATATAATGTATCTAATATAATTTATTAGATATGTTGGATTATATATTACATATGCTATATTATGTTATATACAATGAATAGTATATAATTATATAATATATAATGTGTAATATATAATGATCGTTATACAATATAATTATATAATATATAATGTATAATATATAATGATCGTTATATAATATAATTATATAATATATAATGTAAAATATATAATGATCGTTATATAATATAATTATATAATATATAATGTACAATATATAATGATCGTTATATAATATATATCATATAATAGAATGAATTATTATATTATTATATTATGTATTACATATTAATGTATTCACATATAATACATAATATATACTGTCTATTACATAATATATAATATGCATATTATACAACAATATGTATAAGTTATATAATATATATTTTACGTATAATACATAATAATATAATATGCAATATATAATGGTTTATATTACATATATATAATTTTATATAATATGTAACATATAACATAATCTATCTGCAGGTAAAGCAAATCCCTCTCCATGGACAGCCCACAGCCAACCCTTACGGAATCCATCCAGCCCCTGCAAAAGGAACTGGAGTGAAGAGGGGAAATTTAGGTTGGCTACAGGGACTGGAACTTTCCCTGTGAGGGTGGTGCAGCACTGGAATGGATTTCCCAGGGAAGCTGTGGCTGCCCCATCCCCTGGGAGTGCTCCAGGCCAGGCTGGACGGGCTTGGAGCAGCCTGGGCCGCTGGAAGGTGGGCGGGAGGGCTCCGAGGTCCCTCCCAGCTCTGGGATGCAGCGGCTGTGTCCCAGGAGAGAGGGGCAGTACCTGATTTCCCCCACGATCCCCGCGGCCAGGTCCTGCAGGCTGCTCCGCAGCTCCTCCACCTCCTTCCTCAGCTCGGCCACATTGCTCACCACGAAGTCCAGGCGCTCCAGCAGCTCCAGCTGCTCCTCCTGCCTCAGCAGGGGGCTGGGCACGGCTCCATCTCCATCTCCCGCCGCCGGGAGCAGCGCCCGGGGCACCGGCACGGGCACGGCCTGGCCTGCAGCACAGCACAGCACAGTCAGATCCCAGCGGGAAAGGATTCCGGGGGGAGGGGAACGTGCACGGCTCCGCTGGCAGGGGACAGGAGGCTTGCTGTGGATGGGGACAGAGGGGAGCAGCAGCTCTGCTGCAGGGAAAGGCTGGGACAGATGGGATTGTTCAGCCTGGAAAAGCCAAGGCTCTGCAGTGACCCAACTGGCCCTTGAAGGAGCCTGAAGGAAAAATGGAAAAGCAGCTCTTTGCAAGGGCCTGGAGTGACAGGACAAAGGGGAGTAACTCCAAACTAGAAAAGAGGAGATTTAGAAGGGATACTGGAAGGAATCTTTCCCTGTGAGGGTGCTGAGGCCCTGGCACAGGCTGCCCAGGGAAGCTGTGGCTGCCCCTGGATCCCTGGAAGTGTCCCAGGCCAGGCTGGCTGGGGTTTGGAGCAGCCTGGCATAGTGGAAGGTGTCCCTGCCCATGGCAGGGGGTGGCACTGGATGGGCTTTAATGCCCCTTCCCACCAAACCACTCCAGGACCCCATTATCCTGTGATCACTGTAAAAACACGGTTTCATTTTCTGTTCCCAAAGTTTTGCACAGATGTGGATGACATTCAGGAAGTTCAGGGTTCCGAACCAGCACTTCTAAAAGCGCAACCCCCCAAAGCTCACTTCCCCCTATCCCGGCCCCATTTCCCCCTATTCCAGCCCTGCTCCCCCATTCAATCCCTATTCTCCCCTACTCCAGCCCCATTCTTCCTTTCCCAGCCCCATTTCCCGCATTACAACCCCACTCCTCCCGTTTCTACCCCATTCTTCCAACTCCAAGTGCGTTTTCCACCCTTCGTATTCCAACCCCACTCGTGTCTATTCGAACCCCATTCCATCTCCTCCATTCCAGCTCCTGCCTCCCTATCCCATTTGCCCATTCCAGCCCCATTCCCTCTATTCCAACCCCAGCTCCAGCCACGTTCCTCTCTATCCCAACCCCATTCCCCGCATCCCGACCCGGCTTCCCCGCCGCTCGACCCCGCTCGTACCGCGGCACGGCGGCCCCGCCGCCTCCTTGGAGCGGCGGCGCATGACCCAGATCACGCCGAGGCAGAGGCCGGCGCCCGCCGCCAGCCCCAGCGCCATCCCCAGCCGGGGCCCGGCCCGGGCCGGCTCCGCCACCGGCACCACCATGGCCGCTCGGGCCGCGCGGCACCGCCCGCGGCGCGGCGCGATGGCGTCACGGAGAGGCGACTACGGGGTGGGGGGGGAAGGGAGGGGTGGTCTAGGGGCGCGTGACGTCATGGGCGCGCGGGGCGGCGAGGCCACGCCCACGGCGGCGCGCGCGTGAGGTGGCACCGCCACAGGGACGGGGACGCGGAGCCGGAGCTGGAGCCGGGCCGCCCTCCGCCGGTGTCACCGCCGGCCCCCAGGCCCTGGATCCGCGGGATGGCCCGGGAAAAAACCCCCAAGGCCGCCGGCTGTCCCCTGCTGCCACCTCGGCAGCTGTCCCGCCGGGGTGACAGCACCTCGGCCCGCCTGGGCAGGGGACAGGCCAGGTGCCCTCACACAGCCCCACGCTCTGCGGGCGCTCCCCCCGCTGGGTTTGGGGTTCAGCTTCCAGCAGTGAGGGACAACCGTGCCCCAAAAAATGGGAATTTGGGGTGCCCAGATCTGGGAAGCTGAGCGGGACCGGGTTATTGCAGTGAGGGAGCTGGGCACGGGGATTGTGGGCACAGAGCCAGCGGGTTTTGGGATGAGACAATGGATTTGAGGTGGAATAGGCCAAGGAGACAGGAATGGCCAAACAATCATCCCAAGCATGTGGGGCTGGAATTCTCCCTTCTACAGGAAATGTGGTGGGATCCCCCAGGAAGAATTCATTTATCCCAGAATCATTGAAACTAAAAATACCTTTTTCTGGAAGAGCAAAGGATTCCTTAGGGAAAGGTGCCACTCAGGAGAGGGAAAACCCTCTGTGTGTGCTCCCTGCTCCTGGGGGTTTGGGTGACAGCAGGATTTGGGCAGAGCCAAAGAACCTTCTGCTTCCCTTCATCTGAATTATTGGGAGCAATTCCGAGCCAGCCCAGTGCAAGCAGAGCTGGGAGCAGCCAGCTGGGAGCCACAGGGTGATAAGCTGCTTTGGGATGATGGATGAGATCTGGCTGCCTCCCAGATTTTGGTATCTCCTCAAGAAATTCAATATTAAAATGTTATGTATAGCTCTGCTCTCATTTCCCTCTTTTTTCCTTCCTATCTTTTTTCCCCAGGAAAGAGCCACATAAGAGTCAGACCCAGAGCTGGGCAGGCTGCCAGAACCCTGGCTAGTTTTCCTTTAATTTCTGGAAAGGTCTGGGTTTCATATCCATGTAATTCCCTGCATAACCACAGAGCACACGTGCCCAGCAGAGGTCCAGAGTGGTCATGCATTATGGGAATTCTGTCAAAATCCAGCCCAACTGGGTGAAATGTGCCCTTGGTTCATTGGGCAACAGGTTTGCACTGGGACAGGAGAGCAATGAGCAAACATTCCAGCTGTTCCAGGACTTGGGGAAGAGGCTCTGCTGAGGATGGGAATGATCAAAACAAGCTGATGTTTAACCCTGGGGGGAGGTATCCCACAGGGAACTCCTAATGGACATACTGGGATTTGTGGGACGTGCTTTAGGAAGAGACCATCAGCCTCTGGGGTTTCTTGTGTGTCACCAAACCCAACCAAGGGGTCAGTGACAATGTCAATAATAACAATTAACAACAACAACAATAATAATTATAGCAACAACAACAATTAATAATTAATAACACATCAATAATAACGGATATGCAGCGCCTCTGCCTCCCAGTCTCAGGAAATTGAACTTCTCCAATTACGAAGGAATTTAAATCCCCCATGTTCTCAGACAATAGCAGCCAGTATAAAAAGAGATTTTTCCCAAAAAACGTTGGTAATGCTGAACATTCTGCTTCAGGGGAATGTTTGGTCAGACTGCGGGCTGGGAGTGGGAATGCTCTGCAGGGCCCACCTGCCTGGCTCCTGCTCCACCATCTCCCAGTCCTCACCTCCCTGCTGTTATTTCCTGGTCCTTTATCTCCCTGCTATTAATTTCCGTTCTCTTCGTCTCCCTTATCCTCCATCTCCCTGTCCATCATCTCCCAGTTCACTGCCTCCCCGCTCGTCATCTCCTGTCCTGCATCTCCCTGTATCTCCTCTCCTGCTCCATCCTCTCCCTGCTCATCATCTCCTGTCCTCTGTCTCACAGTCCATTATCTCCTGCTCCATCCTCTCCCATCCTCTGTCTCCCGGTCCATCATCTCCTGCTCCATCCTCTCCCATCCTCTGTCTCACAGTCCATCATCTCCTGCTCCATCCTCTCCCATCCTCTGTCTCCCGGTCCATCATCTCCTGCTCCATCTCCTCCTGCTCCTCACCTTCTGTCCCCTCCTGCTCCATCACCTTCCAGCCCGTCACCTCCTGCCCATCCCGTGTTGGGAGGGCAGTGCCGAGATCCCGAGGGATCCATCGGAGCCCCCCGGGTTCCTCCCGCTCCCGAGCCCTCCGGGAGCCTTTTCCCCCCGCCGCCCGGGGGCGGTGGTGGCGGGGCGGGACCAGGGGCGGCCCCGGGCAGGTCCCCCTGGAGCGGCGGCGGGAGCGGCGGAGCGGAGATGCCGTACCTGCTCATTAGCACCCAAATCCGCCTGGTGAGTCCCGGGGGACCCCCGGGGGTGGGGAATTCCGGGGGGCGGGCAGGAACCGACCGGGGCGAGCCGAGAGACCCGCTCAGCCCGCGGTGCCACCGTCACCGGTGCCTCCGGTGCGATCCCGGCGTGGGCTGGCCCTGCTGCTGCTGGGGGGTCGGGGGTGACGCAGCTTTGGGGGACCCCAGCACGGCCAGGCTGTGCCCAGAGGCCGGTGAGGGGTCCCCGTGCCCCCACCCCGGCTCTGCTGCCCCAAACCCTCCTGTCCCAAACAGCGACTCACTTGGGAAACTTGCGGCGAGATCCCACGAACGCCCTCGCAGCTGGTTTTCCCTCGTCCCCAAAAAGCCATTCCAGGGTGGAAAACGCGGCCAAGGGAGTGGGCACGGCTGGGGCAGACGGGAGCCGGGCAGTGGTTGGGATCAATGTCCAGGAGCACCGGTGGGATTGCTGGCTGTCCCTGTCAAATAAAGCCACAAAGCAAACGTTGCTCCCCGGCACTGGCAGCGCCCACATCCTGCAGGACTCTCTAGGAGCCCACAGCTGTGTGTTTATCTGGGGTTTCCCTTTTCCCGGCATCCAGAAGCCTGGATATCCTGGTGTGCTTTGGGGCAGGAAGCAGGGGCAGTGAAAACAGCAAATGAGCAAAGGGAGGGAGTTGTGATGGACACTGCTGCTGCTGCCACTGGAGATGTCCCAGAGGAAGCAGCCGTGGGTTGGGAATGGGGATTTGTGGGGATGCTGCAGCACCAAAGCATCTGCTGGCAGTGGCATTTGGGGTCGTACAAGTTGATTGAGTGATTATGGATGAGGTACAGGAAGGGACACATGGATTATGGCACTGGAGGGAACAGCCTGGAGCAGCAGGGCTCAGTCTGCCCTCCAGAGACTTTGGAAGCTGTGCTCTTTGCCAGAGGGGAAAAGCAAACATTTCCAGTGTGAAACCTGGCATTGAGCTGAGGCTGGAACCTTCCTGGGTGAGCAGCTGCACCTTCCTGGCAGTGGCTGGGACAGGGGGTGGCTGTGCCACCATGTGTCACTCACCACTCTGTGCCTGTCCCACAGGAGGCTGGGCCCACCATGGTGGGCGACGAGCACTCAGATCCCCACCTGATGAGTATCCTGGGGGCCACAAAGAGGAGCACGCTGGGGAACAACTTGTAAGTCCTCCTCTCCTTATTTTCCCAAGAAATGCAGAACATTTTCACTCCTGGAATTCCCCACAGCACCTTCCAGCTGTACAGTTAATCCCAGGACTCCCCACAGCACCTTCCAGCTGCATATGCTGCCTGATATTTCACTTGGTTCTTTACTTTCCTTTGCTCTGACCCTGTTTTAGCACCTGACCCCCCTTTCCTTCTCTTGGTGCCATTCCTGCCTTGCTCTGCCTGTGCCTTTATTGGCGCTGAGACACCAGAATGCTCACCTGGTTCTGTCCCTCCCATCCCTCCCAGCTGCAGTCTGTTTGTCCATCCCATCCCCCTCTCCAGTGCAGCTCAAGGCTTCACCTGAGCCAGCCCTTCCCAACAGCTCCTAAATCTTTTCCATGGGCAGCTGAGCCCTGAGGTTGGAGCTGCTTCCCATTGTGTCACCCCTGACTCCGACTGGACCACTGGTGTGTTCCCAAGCCGTGGATATTTGACACTTCTCCATGTCCCCACCTCTGACCACACTGAGTTTGACCCCAGCCTTTGGCCAAGCGCCACTCAGAGATGTGACCAGCATCCTCCTCATGGTTTGGCTCACTTTTTTTTTCCTCACTTGATATCACACTTCCTGGTTTTCCCTGGGGTGGGGAAAAAAAAAAACCCAAAACAACAATGGCAAAGCAAAACAAACCCCCAAATGCAAAAGAACTTGACAGAGAGGAGCAGCTCGATTCCTGCTGTGTTCCATGTGCTGTGGTGTGGAGTAGGAGGAGAAGGCATTAAAACAGAAGGTGCATCTCATCCCAAATGTTCCCAAGCTTCCATCCATGGAGCTGGGAAAACCCTCCTACTCAGCACCAGCCTGGCCAACACCAAGGGTTGGATCCTCAGCTGCTGCAGCGTTAAAAATCTCAGTGGGCTGGGAAATGTCAATAGTAAGGAGATAAAATATAAGCATAGAGGGCTGCCCCATCCCACCTGCTTTCCTGGGGGGTTTGCCGGGCTGATCCCTCTCCGTGCTGCTTTTCCCAAGCCCGTGGGTGGGGCAGAGATTGGCAGCAGCGCCAGAGTCGTGCTGCCACCCGCCGTGCGGAGCCCGGAGTTACGAAACGGGATGGGAGACAGAGAAACACAACAGGCTCCAAGAAGGAACTGGATCCTGAGAGATTTGGGCGAGGATCCCTGGGATTCGGGTGGAAAAGGAAGGCAAAGACAGATAAAAGCCTCTGTGGTGCCTGCCCCGGCAGCTGGGGGAGCCTCAGCACTACAAGGAAAAGAAGCACCACATTCTGCCTGTTTTGGGGAAGGGATGTGAGCTTCCTATGGGATCTCCCTGGTGGATTCACCACCTTTCTCCTCTCCCTGTGGCCCGGAGCGTTTTGAGCTCCTCTTGCCCCACCTGCTCCTTGGCATGGTCTGTGTCACAGCTGGGAACTCCGCTGTGGGGTGGGGACACATCCCTGCGGCACATCCCTGCGGCACAGCACGTCCTCCCCGTGTGTGCCTGAGCAGTGGGGAAAGTCCCCTGGCTGGAATGTGGCTGCTGGCACCCCCGGGAGCACAGCCACGTGCCAGCCCAGCCGCCTCCTCCGGAATCCCAGCCAGGGCTGGGAGCTCCGGGATCCGCAGGCCGAGCAGGATTTTCCATCCCCAATTCCTTCATGAGCAGAGCCTGGCTGTGGATGCTGCAAACCCCCTTCCTGCAGCACGTTGGGCCTCAGAAATTTAGCCATGACCTTGTAGGGAGCCTAGGAAAAGAAAACCCCAAGCAGCACAGACCTGCTGGGAAACTGGGATGTAGGTGAAGCTGAAATCCCTGTAATGAGGGAGCTGCACAGACACACAGCCCCTCATTAAGTCCCACAAGGTGTGGGGAGCAGGGATGTGGTCCCTGCCCTCTCACTCGGGGTCAGAGTCCTTGGGGCAGCCAGGTGGGGCAAGGGGTGGGGTCGGTTTACCTGGAAGAAAAGGCTTTGCAGGTATCCCAGCCCCTCCGTCCCGACTGGATGCACATGGAGATGGCAGCAGATCTGATACCCGGAGTGTGCAATCTTCATTTCTCTCAACACACAGCTGGGATAAAGCCCTGGGAGCTCTTGCCTCCTGCTTTTAGCTCAGCTACTCAGTTTTTTAGGTTTCTACAAATCCCTGCCTCTGCTACTTCCTCTGAATAGTGGGAATAATATTTACCAGCTCCCACTGCAAATCTGAAGGGTATGTGGCAACCCTCCTGGAGGAAGAACAGACTTCAAAGACACTTATAATAATGCACATTATCTTTACACCACATCTATAATTACAGCCAAGTACAGTCTGTCTTGAGAAACTGGAAAATCTCTCACATCTCAGGTTATTTTGTGCTTTAAAACACTCCCAGCTCCAGCACGGGTCTGAAATGCAAGCAGGAGAAGCTTTGGAAAGGCTTTTGGATCTTTTTTTATCATTATTAGTAGGAAAAGCAGGAGAAGCTTTGTTCAGGTGCCCAAACAGGATCCCCAGTGATCCTGCAGCCCATCATTATCTGCTCTTATCCAGCACTGTGAGTCAGCTGCAGCTGAGCTGCTCTGAGCCTTATCCCAAAAGTCATGTCAGAGGAGAGGCTGGCACATCCAAAGGTCCCACTGGCCAGCTCAGCTCAGCTGTCCCAGGCCAATTCAGCCCAGTCTGTGCCTGGTCCCTTCACTGGGGAGCAGTGTCACAGCCCTGCAGCTTCTGGGATTGAGGGGTAGGAATGTGGGAATGTGCTCCAAGCCTAGAGCCAGAACAAACCAGCAGGGAATCAGAGCTGGACAAGGATCCCAGTGTCAGCTCCCAGGCACTGCTGGAGTAGAGGAGCCTGGGCTCCACCTTGCCTGGCACCTCATGCAGGATGAAGGCTACTGGCTTTCCAAAGGTTTCCCACCTGGCTGAAAGCAGCACTTTGTTCCAATCCCCAAATTCTAACAGTCCCTCAAACCCACCCATCTCACAGACATACTCTGACATGGGTAGGACACTGGGATTTCATTCCTTAGAAACACCTGAATCATTCCTCTCCTCCTCCATGAATTCTCAGGTATGCTAAAAACGTGCTCACTGTGTTTACCTGTGAGCCCTCTGCTGCAGTGTCAGCCCAGTCACCGAGCAGCATGTGGCTCTGGACACCAGCCCCTGAGCCACATTCCCATTCAACCTGATCCTTCCCTCCTGGACAGGATTCCTGTGGTTTGGCACCTCGGGCTGTGCCTTAGGGATTAACCAAGGCCCTGTGTCACACACGCCTGTGCCAGGTGGGGCTGCTGGCCTTAGAGGGATCAGCAGCAGTGAGGCAGGCTCACTTCCACCAGGGAATTCCCATCTCTTCCTCCCCAGCTCACCTTATTCCCATCTTTCCCGGGTGCAGCTGTGAGTACTACGTGAACGACGCTCCGCGCGTGGTCCTGGACAAGCTGGAGAGCCTCGGCTACCGCGTGGTCAGCATGACCGGCGTGGGCCAGACCCTGGTCTGGTGCCTCCACAGGGAATAGCCAGGGAGAATCCTGCGTTCCACCCGGACAACATCCTGCTGGAGATCATCTTACAGGACTGGCAGCAAACTTTCCCCCCTTAATTCCTTCCTGCCCCAGACTCCAGGCACTCAGGCAGGGGGAGGAATGGCGCAGAGGCAGAGCTGGACCCAGTGGAATTTTGCCATCCCTGTTCTGTTTCCCAAGAGCAGGGGGAGGAAGGTATGCCCAGAATCTAGCAGAGGGGACAGATGGCTCCAGCTCTGCCTTCAGTGGGATGGCAGTCTGGCAAATTCCATCTTTTTACATTTTAATCACGTATTCAGCATGCCCTGGAGGAAGCTCAGTAACAGCCCTGTTTGCCTCCTGCCCAGGGTGCCCTGGAGAGCTCCATGCCTTCTCCTGGGCCAGGGGGTTAGGGAGGGACAGCAAGCATGGACACCATCCCATCTCATCCCTGAAATCCAAGAGGGAACCACTAAGCCTACTTCCAGTGCTTTGAGAATCCCTTCCCTTGGCAGCAAGGCCTGCTTCCATCTCAGCAGCACCACCAAACTTTCAGATCCCAGACTGCCTTCCAAGCCTAACACAGGATTCCCAAAATTACACAGAAAGTGTTCTTGTGTGACTATTCCAGGTGCAGGCTCTAATCCCAGCACTGCTGGAATGTTTGGGACTGTGCATGGATTCTGCTGTGGGGGTAACACCAATAAAACATTGCTCCAAAGAGACCAATGTCCTTCTGTGGGTTGTTTAAAGCTGTTGCCAGATCCCTCTGGATGCATGGCTCCTGAACAAGCTTTCAGGAATTAAAAGCTCCAAGGTTTGGTGTTCTGATGGCACCTCTCACACCTTGTCCCATGGGATGGGGCAGCTGTTCTGGGCACACACACTGACAGGGTAACACCTGCACTCTGTGAACCTCAGGCAGCCATTCCTTCCCCAGACCTGGAAAGGGATAAGGGCCGCAGTCCCTGGGAGTTTCTATTCCCACAATACCTTTAGAAAAAAGGAGGTTTATTGACTTAAATAAAGAAACAGCTCTGAAGGGACGGAGGGGTGGGAAGAATCCATACTCTCATGCTAAGTGTGAGACTTTTCCTCCTCATCTTCCCGCTGGAGCTGCTCGATGAGCTGCTGCCTCTCGGCCGCCTGGCGCATCCTCATCATCACCAGGCTCTCGTAGTCCCGCTCCGACACCACCGACGCCTGGAAGGAGCAGGAAACACAAACAACCTGTCAGGGGCAGCACAGACTCCCAGACTTGCCCAAATCCCCCTCACAACACCAGCATTCTGGGCAGGAAATGGTTTGAGCCCACGGAAACTGGGTGAGGCGGGTGAAAGCTGCCTGGCTACAGGAAATAACCAGGAATTGTTATTAAAATGGTTATTAAAAATAACCAGCAATGAGTGTGGTTGGTGAGGAAAGCAGGACAGACACAGAGCCAGCATTCCATGAGGCTGGACGGGGCATTATTTTGGATGACAAGATCACCCTGCACCTACAGCGTTGGTGCCTGAAGTCCAGCATACACTGCATACACTTCACCTGTTACAAAGGCTAATGCCATAAAAAAATCAAACCTTTGTGGATGAGTCATGGAAGTGACTAACTTCCAACTGTCTGACCGTGCTGAGGCCTTGGCACAGGTTGCCCAGAGAAGCTGTGGCTGCCCCTGGATCCCTGGAAGTGTTCCAAGCCAGGTTGGACAGGACTTGGAACAACCTAGGATAGTGGAAGGTGTCCCTGCCCTGGGATAAACTTTAAGGTCCCTTCCCACCCAATCCATTCCATGATTCTAACAGCTGCAATCAATGACCTTGAAGGTCTTTTCCACCACAAACAACTCCCTGATTCTAAACAGCTGCAGAAAGAAAACCACCAGGGATGTTCCCAAACCTGACACAGGACTGGAACAGTTTTCCAAAGCTCCCAGAGCCTCCCTGCTGCGTGTGGCAGCAACTGTCACGTCAAGGCAGTTGATTGCAGACTCTGCCTAATGAACGTGGGCAGCAGATGACAGCTGCTCCGGTGCTTTGGCGCTGCTTCCAAAGCCATTCCACACTAGTAGGTGGCCGTGCTATTTTGGATGTATGAAAGCACTGCAAGGCTTGGAAACATCCAGCTCATTCCTTGACAGTTCAGGTGGAAATAAGAGTTTCTTGACAGAAGGTGAATGGAAAAAAAAACCCCTTGGTATTCCTTTTTCTAGGAAGTGGGTTAAGTGGTGATCACAGAGAATCAGGGAATCCCAGAATGGTTTGGGTGGGAAGGGATCTCAAACATCATTTGGTTCCAACCTCGTGCTATGGGCAGGGACACTTTCCACCAGCCCAGGCTGCTCCAACCTGGTTTTGGACAATTCCAGGGATGGGGAAGCCACAGCTTCTCCAGATGTTGAAGGATTTCTTAGGAAGCAGAAGGGATACAAAGACAATAGAACGCCTAAATAAGTCTCTGCACGGAAACATGGGCGAGTGCAATTCCTTATCCTGTGCCAGCAAAGTGGTTCCTCCGGCTGCAAGGACACAATGAAAGCCCACAACAGATAAGGAACATCAAGAGGGAAATTAAGAGTCTAATTGGTGTCTTAGGAGACACCTGAGCAAAATGACCTTTGGGTACTGGCAGCAGCAGTGTCTGAGAAAGCACCGATGCTATCAGCCCTCAGCCGGGATCCTTCCAAGTCCCATCCACCAGCCCCAGGAATTTGCTGGGCTGGATGGAAGAGCCTGCCTGAGACTCATGCAGATGAATCACCCACACAAACCTGAAGCCCCACCTCACACTGGGATTGAAATTTAAAACAGCCAGGAGATGATTTGCAGCCTGGTTTGGGAGCTCTGCTGACACGAGGAGCCCTCGGAGTGGCAGGAGGAAGAGCAGCCTGATCCAGGTGGGCTCCCAGCACGTGCTCCCGGGTGCCTGAGCGTGGGCTGAGGCTCCACCACTGCACACACCTACTTCCTGCAATCCTGGCAATTACCAATGGAGTGAAACCCAGTTTCTGACGTGGCTGACTCAGCAAGGGCTTGGCTCAAAACAAACACATCCACACATCCACGCAGGGAGCCGCAGCCCGGGAAGCAGCGACGGGTGGCACATGAAGGGACGGCAGCGGCAGCACTGTGGAGTTTTGGCATTTTGGGTCCAACCTGGCTGAATTCCTGCACTTGCTTCTTCATCCTGCTCTCCGAGTGCTCCAGCAGCTTCTCCTTGTAAGTCTCTCCTGCACTCCGTTCTCCCAGCGTTGTCTCCTGCACTGTCGCTTTCTACATCCCCCTTCTCCCGTACTCCCCGGGTTCCTTCCTTCGGTGGGACTGAGTCACCGTCTCGTTCCCAGCCACCCACGGCGCTTTTCCGGCGGTGCCCCTCCGCAGAAGGTGCCTGGTTACCATGGCACCCGAGTGCCCTTCTGTTCTAGATGCCAGATTAGATCTGTTCTCATGGTGACTGTGCCTCTGCTGTTCCCCACCAGCCCGGAGCCGCAGCACACGTTTAACGAGCTCGCTCGCACACCGCCGCTCCTCTCCACTCCAGGGGGAGACTCCTTCAGATCCAAGACAAGCCAAGTGCTCCTTGCCGCGGCGTGGAGTTTGCATTTCCTGCACTACCAGCCTCTCTGTGTTCGTTGCAGCTCCGGGAACGGGGCAGGAAGAGGTTGATCCTGTTGCGTGGCTCTCTGCTGATCCCTCGGCTCCCGCCTGTGAGGAGCCAGCATTCCTGCTCCTCGCTGCCTTTCCTCACCATGGATACTTGGCGCAGGGGGTCCATCAAGTCCACCACCTTCTTCCGACGCTTCTCCCTCAGGAGGCACAAAAAGCTGGGCAACCAAGTCATCATCCTGAACCAGAACAGCCACACTCTGGACAAGGACGGCCAGAAGAGGGAATGCTTGAGGGATCTGAAGGACAAGTCTGAGTACCTGTCCTGTCAGAGCGAGCAGAACCTGGCCAAGGCACAAGCCCCTCCCAAGCCTCCCCGGCTGTACCTGGACAGCTCCAGCTGCCCCAACATCATCGATCACACAGATTCCCACTCCGACCTCTCCTTTTCTGATGCTGCTCCGTACCACAAAGCCACTCCGACGCATAAGGACCAGGCTACGGACCTCGGCACCTCAGAGGCAGGTCTCCCAAACAGCACCACTCTTCCCGACCTGGCTGACCCCTTCCTGTCCTTCAAAGTGGATCTGGGGCTATCGCTCCTCGAGGATGTGCTGCAGACCCTCAGGAAACAGAACCCGAGGGATTACGCCATTTGAAGGTATTCATTGTCCACCACATCCCAGTTACTCACTGCTGCTGCCAGTTCCTCCGATTCCAGCAGGAGGAAGGATACTGGAGCATGCCTGTTGCGCGTGGTCTGTTTCGTTGTCCTCGCCTTGCCCACCACAGGCCATCCCTGTCCTTGCCAAGGAATCCTCTGGAGCAGAGCTCACGGCTCTGTGCTCAGGTGAGAGCACCGTCTGCTGTCTCGTGGGCAACTTTCTGCTCTCCACCCCGGGAATTTCCCACTCCGGACTGCGCGTCCCATCCTCAGGGAAGACTGGCATTTTTTCGGAAAGACTTATTTTGGGGATGTGACACTGTGGGGCAGGGACACACAGGGATTTGTCATGGACTGCTTGTGGAACGGCAGGCAGCCTGCAAGGAGGCAGCAGCACTGCACCCCGAAGCCAAAGCTTTGAGGGCTGAGAGACGGGAACTGGGGCTTCTCCTCCCACCGTGTTTGGATGTGAAAGCTCAAAGCTGTTCCGCCGTTTTTTCTCTTCCTCCTTGTGGGTTTCTTTTCCCTTAACTCCAGTGCAGGTGGCACTCCCAGCCTGGAAAGAGGTAAGCATCCAAGTAGGCTCCTGATACAGCACCAGCAGTGGATTTATCCTCCTGGCAGGAGAAGAGATGTCTCTGACACTGCTGCCTCACGCATGCACTGAGCTCCCAGCTGTACAGACATAGAAGAATAAATGTATCTGTGACTGGAAGTGTCTGGTTGCCTCATTTCATTGGGAACAAGCCACAGAAATCCCAGGCACCAGGAGCACAGGGTATCTGGAGGGGCCCAGGTCCATCCTCCCTGGCACTGCAGAGTTTTATGATGGGGGAGGGACACTTGTGTGGCTCTGAGGGAAGGACAGAGCTGCTGGGACTTGATTTTCCTCTGAGGAGAGCTCACACAGCTTGGGGCAAGACAGGAACAGCTGCCCAGCCTGAGCTGGATAGTGGGAAAGGCTCTGCCAGGCTGAGAAAGTGGGAAAGGCTCTGCCAGGACAAACTGCTAAAAGAAACTACCACCTGAGCTGGATAGTGGGAAAGGCTCTGCCAGGCTGAGAACGTTTTGGGCAGCACCAGGACAAATTGCTAAAACAAACTACCAGTTATTACCTTTTTGACTATTAGGGCTCTTTTAAAAAACAACAATAATAAAACCTCCATGCCCCCAGATCACCAGGAGCTTTGGAAGTGGCCACAGCAAAGTGCAGGGACACTCCAGGGAAGGCACAGCTGCCTCTTACCCTGCGAGATTCACCTCCCAAAGTTAAATAATAGGAACTAAACCCTCTGAAGGAGCTTAGAACAGGCACAAGAACTCCAGGCAGGAGGCTTTTCTCAGGGCTGAATGGATGAGGAGCCCTGACAGGGAGATTCCACTGCAGGAGCAGGGAAAGTCTTTCCAAAACTGAGCATTGCATGCTGTTGGAATGGCAAAACAAGCTCTCTGCAGCCACTGTGTGCTCTGAACCATCACACAGCCACTGCTCTCAATGGCCTGGAGGAATACTGTCCAAGCCACAGCTTTTGAATTCCAAGGGGAACTGGAGCCTGCTTGGCTGCAGCAGCTCTCCAGGAACTGCTGGTCAAACGTGCACCTGTTGCTGTAGGAGACAAGGCTGTGGAAGATGAGCAGCTTCCACCTGGGAACTGCTCCCAAACCCCCTGGCTGGGGTCTGGCTGTCCTTTACCTGTGGATTTTGGCACTCAGGTCCTAGCTGGCTCTCCCAGGCAGGGAGTACTGGCTGCTTGTCCCAGACAGGGAGCAGAGGATGAGTAGTGAGCGTGTTGCCATGAGAACGCTGCAGGCTTGGGCTGTTTCCTGAAGCAGAGCAGCAGAGGAGCTGCTTTTGCACAGAGTGGGAACAAAACGGGGGCGGATTCAGACAAAAACAGAGGGGGGAAGCGAATAGGAAGCAAGGGCAGCTTAAATCAGAATGAGGTAAGTGCAGCCTGGAAGCAAGAACGTGGAGCCTGGTGGCTGGGAAGCCAGGCTGGGTGTGAAGGGAAGAGGCAGAGGGAACAGGGATCTGGGAGCTCACCCTGTACACTCTTGAACTGGAGAGCGTGAGCTAAGTCAGCTGGAAGCAGATCAGCCAAGAGGAACTGTGAACACATTGCAGGTTTTAGAAGCATCCTAGTGGATGCAGCAGGAGGATTTGGGGAGGGTCTGGAGTGGGAACAAGGGAAAACAGGAAAGAGAGCAGCTTGGAGATGCCAGGCTGCAGTTCAATCCCAGACAGTGCAGCTCCTTACAGCTAAAAGCAGCAGAAAGGACAGCAAAGCATCAGCTGTGCAGCTCCTGGGCAGGATGCAGGACCCTGGCAGCAGCTCCTCAGCATTCCCAGAGCCAGGTGGGATTGAGGAGGCTGTGCTGGGCACAGGTGAGTCACCAGCACCATGTGCTGCTTTCCTGCTCTCCCTGCTGCCCCACCACACTAATCCTGCACCGCAGGCAGACGCTGCACTTCCACACTAACAAGCTCATGGCATGGAAACAGGCCAAGACAAACTCAGGGATCTGAACCCACAGAGGCTGGAATCCACTACCAAGCTCCAACTGCACCAGCAACCCCTTTGGTAGGAATGAGCCACTTCTCACTCTCTGCCAGTGAGAAATTCTCAAATAACATGGTTTGTTATTTGAGAATTTCTCACCAGTTCCCTTCCTAACACTCCTGTGGTTCACCACTCCTGTGGTGAATCACCTGTGCCTGCAGGACTCTCCCTGGTCCTATATGGACAGGATAACAATCAGGGGTTTTGATGTATAATTACAAGCAATATAAATAAAATACTTAATAAAACATCAAGAATGCACTGAACAATCTCACAAGCTTAAAATATTTAGGGAGTGAACACACAAAAGGATATTTAACTTGATATTGCTGTCCCCTCCCTCCTGCAGACCTCTAAGAATAGAGGTTTGCTTCCAGCACTGAAACTTCCTCCTCCTGGGAATGCAGTGAGCAACCATGGCTCTCTAAGGAACCTTTCAGCAGCTGTCACTCAGAGGATTCCAACAGTCAAGAACATATTAAAAAATCCCATCAGAATGGCACTGGAGGCTTTGGGCTGTGCAGGGAACATCCTTGTTCTTCACTTGAGAGAAAGGGAATGTGTGAAGACCCAAACAGCTCCCAGTGTGCTGCTGCCCAGGCAGGAGGTCCTTTAGAAGGCCACTGATCCAGCACAGAAAGGAAAAGCAAGGCCTGGCCCAAAAAGCTTCTTCCTGACAGCACTCTGAGATTTAGGTTGTTACAGCACCAGATTTCCATCTCCTTACCTGTGAGCTCCTGGGCTGGCTGGTGCTGTCAGGGAGGACGGTGCTGGGGCGGCTCTGGGGCTGGCCCTCCAGCCAGGAAATCTTCAGGGGGTTATTTAGCAGGCCAACCTCATTCTTCACAGCCATCTCCTGGCAGGGAAAACACCCTTCCATCATCACCTGAATTTCAGACCCTGCTCCCTCACGAGTCCCTAAGAATCATGCTCCCATCTCAGAATGGCCTCAAGGCCAAGTAAGGCACAAACAAGACCTATCCCTGGAAGTGTCCCAGGACAGGCTGGATGGGGCTTGGAGCAAGCTGGGCTAGTGGATGGTGTCCCTGCCCATGGCTGGGGGCTTGAAATGGATGGTCTTTTAAGGCCCCTTCAAATCCAAACTATTCTATTATTCCACTCTGTAAGATTTTAAGGATCTTTCAAACCCAAACCATTCCATGACTCTCAGATTTCACAGCTGCCCTACATGAGAAGCACCTCTATGGTCCATACCCCTGCCAGCACTTTTGATATACAGGTCACACACAGTTCTGGGGGTTTTTATCATTTGGATATGAGTGAAAGAAAAGCTAACAAGGAAAGTCTCATACAGCCCAAGCTGATGGAACTATAAAACTCAGGGTAACTGATGACTTCTGCTCCCACAGCCACCTGAGTTATTATAACTCACAGTGAGTCAAGACATTTTAGGTTGTTTTTCACTGCAAATGCCTGGTATCACCTCCAAAACACATAAGCCCAACTCCAAGGCATTTCACCTCCAGAGAGAGCTGAGTAAGTGCTCAGTGCCTGATTTCTAAGGCAGTGCCTCTTCCCTCAGCCTGTTCCACGCACAACCTGTTTATGTGCCTGATCTCTGGGTTTGTGCCTCCAGCTGTGCCACACCCTTTGTGCCTTTTGACTCTCATTACCCTTCTCCACTGCCTTAATGACAGGGCAGTGTCCTGGCTGTCACCTGTGCTGTGCCACCCCCAGCACACCCAGCAGGGGCTCTGCACACTCACAGCTGCCTTCACCGTGGCAAATTCCACCACTGCACTCCCAGTCTTCCTGCTGGAGATCAACAAATTGAGCACATCACCATACTGTGGGAAGAAAGAAAGGAAGGAAAGTTAATTACAGAGCCAGGAGAGATGTCAAGTTCAGTTATCAAATGAACACAAAGAGAAAACGTGTGTTTTCACAGACGTGAGGCTTGAGCTGTCACCACTTCTGTCCTGCTTCCACTGATCCCACCATTTCTGTCCCTCCAGGAAATAATCTGGGAAGGCATGGAGCTGCACACTTGGCTCCTCTATGCAAGAGGGCTGCTGAGCTCAGAGTCAGAGCTCAGAGGGAAAAGAAAGATGCCAGGGTGGGATTGATCAGATCAAAGGCTTGTCTGTGCCTGTCTCTGCACTTCCCACAGCAGGGATGTGGAGTGCTTGAAGTGAAGGATGGCTGCACCACAAGCACAGAGCCAGACATAGTGGGCAGGAAGCATCCAGTGGGAAGAGTCTGCAGTTGCTGTTTCAGCCAGAGCTGTTAGCTGGGAAACAGCTCCCAGCTCAGGGATCAAAGGATCCAACTTGGTTCAAAGGTTGGATTTGATGATTTAAGAGATCTTTTCCAACCTTAATGACTCCACGATCATGCTGATGAGCTCTGAAAACTGCATAAGAAAGCTGAACAAGGAAGGAAATGAGCCACTCCAGTTTATAGCTTACAAAGGCATGGAGTGACAGGACACAGGGAATAACTTCAAACCAGCTGTTCAGATGAGATTACCTGTTCAGATTAGATTATTAGGATAAAATCCTTCCCTGTGCAGGTGCTGAGGCCCTGGCACAGGTTGCCCAGAGGAGCTGAGGCTGCCCCATCCCTGGAAGTGTCCAAGGCCAGACTGGACAGGCCTTGGAGCAACTTGGTCTAGTGGAAGGTGTCTCTGCCTGTGGCAAGGGGTGGAACTGAATTATTTTTAAGGTCCCTTCCTACCCAAACCATTCCATGATTCTGTGATATGCAGCTTCCCAGCTATTCTTACAGCACTTGGATCAGGGGAAGACCCAGTAATACAAAGGGAAGAGTGTCAGACAGGACCTTCTGTAGGATCTTCAGCAGCACATCTTTGGAGTATCCCCCTCCAGTCTCATCTTCCTTCCTGCATTTCCACCTGAGCTGGAAACAAACGGCAGGAGTTAATTTTTCCCGTTTGGATGTGCTGCCTGCTCAAGCAGCTCCCACCCCCCTGAACATTCACCACGTTTGCTATTTCCAGCCACACTCCCAGGCCTGCCAAGACAGTGATCTCAGCATGGGAGTGAGCACAGGGAACAAACTGTTTGGGGAACAGGGAGAAACGCTGCTCGCTGGAATAAAAAAAGATCGCACTTGAAAGGATGCTAATGGCTCTGTCAGGGTAATTAGCAGCTGTTTCCCTGTGCTTAAAGCACAGACAACTCAATCCCAGGCTCAGAAATCTGGAGCAGACAAAGAAAAGGGGAGTGAGGAAGGAATTCTAACAGCAAGGACAGGAGCTGTTCACCTGATGATGCACATTCCATGAAGGAATTTCATCTCCAGTACAAAAAAGGATGTGCCAGCTTAGCAGGGTTGAAATGTCCCTTCTGTTTTCCACCATGTTCTATCAGTTTTCACCAAAACACAGCTTTTTAAGGATGTCTTACCTTGAGCTTAGGAGTTATTTTGCCTTCTGCTCCATTTCTTTCCTGCCTGCCTAAAAAAAAAAATCAAAGGAAAGGACACGGGTGAAAATTCCTCAGCATTTTGCACAATTTTTTTCCCTGAGAACATACACATGATGAAACACTTTGGGATTTCCAGTGGACCATTGCAGTCCCAAAAATCTCGTGCAACAGGAACTGCAGCACAGACTGAACACTCCATGGCAGCACTTTTCCTTTTAGGAAGCACAGACTTGCCACGATCAAGGCTACAAACAGGTCAGCAAAAACACAAGCAGCAGACATGTTCTGAGGCATTTTTCCCTGCAAGAAGGTTGGAAAAACTCAGGGTGGACAGCTGCCAAAGAGCCCGAGGCCAGCTGCAGGTGCTCCCCGTGCTCACCTCGGCTGTGCTGCTCCCTTTCCAGGCGGATCTGCTCCCTGACCAGCCTCTGCTGCTCCTCCAGCTGCCGGGAGCCCTCCTCACGCAGGCGGATTATCTACGGCACAGGGAACACAGCACGGGCACCTGAGGCACACAGCCAGGGCTGGAATGTCACCTGGAGGCTTCCAAGGACAGCCTGGGCATCACACCCATCTCCTGGGACACCCCTCCTGCCAGTTGCCCTGGGACAGCTCCAAAAGGAGCAGCCTGGTCTGGTGGAGGGGTCCCTGAGCATGGCAGGGGCTGGAACTGGATGGGCTTTAAGGCTCCTTCCCACTCAAACCATTCCAGGATTCTCTGATTCACAGAGCCTTTTAATCCCAAAGGTTGAAGGACTGCTCTCCAGAGATTTTTCTGCACCTCATCCCATGGATTTCATCAGGAATGGAAATAATTCCAGCAATTCTTCTCAAAAATAGCAGAGGGAACTAAGAATTTATCCTTACTTCTTCTTCTAATGATCTCGTTATCCTGATTTCCTCCTCTTCATTCTCCTGGGACTGGGCTTCCCGTTCTCTGGCTTCAAGATCTGCAGAGAAAGAAGCAAAATTAAAACAATCCAAAGAGAACTTGAGTTTTCCCTGCTGCCCAGAGGAAGATGGATAGATCACAAACTCGGCTGCAGCTACACCCATGTCCTGACAGCTCTGCTGCCTCTCCTCTGGTCCCACACACCAAAGGAACCTTAACAATTCTCAATCCCCTAATTCCCACTGCAGGACCTAATTCCCTCCTTCCCAGAGCAGGACCACCCCAACTATGGCTGTGGGAGAAGATTCCAGGTCTACTGGACTGTAACAGGGATGAAGAAACCAGAGTCATACCCCATGGAAGGAGAAATGCAAACAGCCAGCTAGGGGAGACCTCAGGAGAACATGAGGGTTTGATTTTCTCACCAAGCTTTACTTTCTTCCTCTTCTCATCGAGTTTCTGTGTCCTTGCTGCAGCCTCCTTCTTCGCCCTCCTCACCCTGTCATAGGCTGCCTGCCAAGGAACCAGCACAACAGTGGGAAACTACAGAAACCAGGAGAGAAACTGGAAAACAGGGAACACAACGACATCAGGGACTGAAACCCTGTCAGCAGGGCTGGAGCATCTGCTGCTTCTTGGATGACAAGCTTTGCCAGTACCTGAGAAGAGGAGCTCGTGTTTTTAGCTTCTGTCACCTGGAATCAACGGTTTTCCCTCTCCTGAGATAATCTGGAGAGAGTTCCTCGCTCATTTTTTGGTTTTATTCTTTCCAGGGACATTTCCAGGTTCTTTTAGGCCTTGGGCAGTGGGTTCTCAGCCACTTCCCCACAGCCTCAGAAGGATCCAAGCCCTCCTGTGTCCCTCAGACAGCAAAGCCTGGAGCCTCAGGAATTGCATCCAAGTATTACTCATTTGTCAGCCCCTGACTCAACAGGAATGGCAGATGTTGCCATGGGAATTTGGTGTTCCTGAACCAGGGATGGTGTTGTTAAATGGGATATGCCCCAGTCCAGCACGTTATTAAAGGCAGAATCTCAGGGCAGAGCTGCTCCCAGCAGCAAATCCCAAACACCACATTCCTCCAAGCTGTTACCTGGCACCTGAGATCTGATCTCATGGAGAACCAGGGGGAATAACAGCTGAGATTTGTATTCATGGAGCCTCTGTTGCAGCAGAGAGCAGGACAGGCAGGATTAGAGTTCCCAGCACCACCCCAAAATCCCACCCTTGCCCAGGGAACATCCTTACCCTGGCTGCTGCATCTGTGAGCACGGCCAAGGCCTGGGACAGCTGGTGGAAAATTTCCGCTGGGAACGAGAAGAAATAAGGGCAAGATGAGGGAAGCCAGGTGAGGGACCTGGGGAAGAACCAGGAAAGACAATTCCTGCAGGAAGGTCTCTCCAAGGAACAAAAATCACCTCTCCAAGAGATTTGTAAGCCAACCTCTAGCCAGGGCCACCTCAACTCAAAGGTGTTACCCAAACTTGAGAGTAAATAAAGAAAGAAAAAACTGGGATTGTTTCATTTTAAGAGAAAACTTGGAATACACAAACTTAATTTTTCTTATTGATTCTTTTCACTTTGGGTGGCAACATCTCCTTCATGCCACATTTAGCTGGAGCTTCACAATTTCCTTCTCCCTCTTTGTCCTTTTCCTTCAACAAGAAGGAAATGTTGTATTGCTTATCCTTTAAAAAAGTCTTTCCTCTTGTCCCATTACAAGCATTGGCAAATTGTATTTATTTTTTATAAAGGTGAATTATCGGTCTTGACACACAAAGCAACTGCTAATTCTACAACCTCCATCCACAGCAACCCCTCGCTGCAGGCAGCTCAAATTCCCCCTTGCCCTGCCGCAGATAAAAGGATTTATGGACTGCTGGTGAAGTTTGAACTGTGAGAGATACAGATCAAAGCAGTGTCCAAACAGGCAAAGGCTGGGAAGGTTTGGAGAGGTGCAGCTGTAACTCCAGCACTGCCTTACTAAAACCTGTTTCTAAACCCAGCAGGGATCGTTCAGCCTTAAAAAAATCAGAGTTAACACCAACAGGAGCAACTCCCAGCCCAGGGACACACACCCAGCCATTCCCTCAGCACTCAGGGAAGCAGAGCCACTTCCAGGAGGCTGGAGAAGGGAAAACTCATGCAGGAAGAGCTGCCCCACCTCACCTGCCCGGGGGTTGTCGGGGTTCTTGTCCGGGTGGCAGGTGAGAGCCTTCTGCCGGAACGCTGTCTTCACCTGCAGGGGCCACACTGGGGGTTACTGGGGAGAACTGCTTGGTCTCTGCCAAAAAAAGCACCCTGGAAACCCAAAATAATCCCTCTGTTCAAGGGCAATCCGCTGGGCCCGGGACATGAATGTGTCTGGGAGGAGCTGGAGCTTTCAAAAGCTGTTTTGGCTTCCAGGTGTCTTGCGTTGCAGCAGTTAAACCTCAGGTTAAAAAAAATGGGAGAGGGGAAAAGGAGAGAAGGACAAAAGAAAAAAAAAGGAGAAAAGAAAAAAGGGGAGAAGGAAAAGGGGGAGAAAAAAAAAGGAGAGAAGAAAAAAATATGGAGAAGAGGAAAAAAAACGGAGAGAGGGGGGAAAGGGGGAGAGGAAAAAAATATGGAGGAAAGAAACCAAAAAGGGGAAAGGAAAGGAAAACGAGAGGGAGAAAAAAAGGGGGAGATGATAAAAAATGGGGGAAGGGAAAAAAAACAGAAAGAGAACCAAAAATAGGGAAAGGGAACCAAAAAGGGGAAAGGAAAGAAAGAGGGAAAGGAAAAGAAATGGGGAAAGGAAGAGAAGTGGAAAAGAAAAATAGAAGAGGTAAAGAGAACGAAAAATGGGGAAATGGAGGGGAAAAAAAGTGGAAAACAAAAAGGGGGGGACAAGGAAAACAAAAGGGGGGGAGAAGGAAAAAAGGAAGCCACTGTATCCCACTCCCAACCAATTCCCTGCTATAACAAGTGGAAAAAGTTGTGTCCCGGCCCCACCTGGTGGACAAAGCTCCCGGGATTGGGAATGTGCAGGAAAAGCCCTGCGGATGACCCCACCTCCCGCATAAGAGTCCAGCTGAAGGAGAGGGATCTCCTCGCCGGGCTCCATCCTCCAACCTCCCATTTCAGGCAAGAATTGCCCGCACTGTCCCGCCTAACCCCGCTCCCTGGCAGCGGGCAGCCATTCCCTTGTTATCCCGTTATTCCAGGCCCTCGGCCCGAGCCCCTCTGCAGCTTCCCTCCTGTGTTTAGCACTGACTAACCAAGGAAACTCGATTCAAAACCGCCAACGACTCATCCCAAGCCCACAGGGCAGCCATTCCCTTGTTATCCCGTTATTCCAGGCCCTCGGCCCGAGCCCCTCTGCAGCTTCCCTCCTGTGTTTAGCACTGACTAACCAACGAAACTCGATTCAAAACCAAGCCCACGAAATTAACTACGTGACTTTTGGGCGCTCGGACAAACGCCTGACAGCAGGATTTTTGGATCAACACGGGAATTTCCCTTCTGAAGCACATAAACAAAGCGAGAACATGTCCCGGACCGACCCCGCAGTTCTCCCCTCCTCCACAGGCGGGTTCCGCCCCGCAGGATTGAGGGGTGAACTGGGGGAACGAGGCCAATTCCAGTAAAACCGGGATATGACAACGCAATGTCAGTAAAAACGGGATTTTTTCCGTCCGACAGCCCCGGTCCCGCAGCAGCGCTTGGAGCAGCCCCTCAGCTCAGCGCCGCGCCGGGAACGCGCCGCTCCCAGGGAGACCGGGAAAGGGATGGAGGGGAGAGAAGGAGCCCGTCCCGAGCCGCCCGCGCCCCTCACCTCCTTCTCGGACGCTTTCTCGCCGATCCCCAGCAGCCCGTAGAGGTCCCTCTCCAGCAGCTCCTTATCCACCGCCATCTTCGCGCTTCCCGGTTCCGCTCCTGGCGCGGCGGTGGCTGGGAAATGTAGTCCCCGCACGTCGCCTCACCACGCGCCACCCGGGAAGGTGGACTACAAGCACCGTGATGCACCACGCGACCGCAGAGGATGGCAACCGTCAGGGTGCGCAGCGCCCTGCTGGGCATGTTGGGTGTTGTAGTTCTTTAGTGGCGGCTGAGAGCGGGGCGAAACTAGATGAAAACTACAAGTCCCGTGGGGCCGTGCGCGGGCACTGAGTCCTTAGGGGAAACGGCACGTGGGTCCTGCTGTCCGCCAAGGTCACCGCTGACCGTGTCTCCAAGTGCCACAGACGGATCCACATCCACGCGCTAAATCCCTCCGGGGATGGCACTCCACCACCTCCTCGGGAAGCCTGTGGCAGTGGGGAGTGGTGTGAGCCCAGCTGCACCCTCTTCCCAAAAACACAGTTGTTTTTGTTGTCCCCAAAAAACATCCATCTCAGCCCAAGGCACAGATCCTTGGGAAATTCTTGTCTTCTTATTGATCTTGTCTTCTTATTGATTATTGTCTTCTTATTGATACCTCCCTCCCCCCCACACTGCTCTAAGAAGGGAGCACTGTAGAAGAAAGCCTATCCAATTATTTCCATAATGCAGGAGACGGAATTTTTCAGCCCTTACTCCTTTATTTTAGCAGGATTTGTGTCCTCGTGGCTGAAGGTTACTTAACTTACTTTGTCAACAATAGCAACAAACATGAGATCAACCTGAGATCATGAAGAAAACTGGATAGCCACGATTCCAGCAAAATTAATTGCTTCAGGAGAGCCGTTCTTAGCCGGTAGTGCAACAAACTGAAAGGTTCCTGGTGTGTCTCCATGGATCCTCGCCCGAGCACAGCCTCAGCTCTCCGGGTGCAGCCCCAAGCCATTGTCGTGTTGCTTCAATCCCTGCTCCACTGCCACCTCCTTGATGAGAATCCTGGAGTGGTTTGTGCTCAAAGGGAGCTTGAAGAGCATCCAGTTCCACCCCCTGCCATGGGCAGGGACATCTTCCACTATCCCAGGCTGCTACAAACCCTGACCTGGAATGCATCCCTGTCCAGCCTGACCTGGAATGCTGCCAGGGATGGGACAGGCACAGCTGCTCTGGTCAACTTGTGCCAGGGCCTCACCCCTGAACAGGGAACGATTTCTTCCCTATTCCACGATTTATTCCACCTAAATCTCCCCTTTTCCATTTTGGAGCCATTCCCCTTGTCCTAACCCGGCAGTTCCTGATGGGTTGTAGCCCTGGCCATGCTGAGGCCACCTGCAGCCATCATGGGGCCACCATGGGCACCTCCTGTGGCCTCCCCCTGAGGATCCCTTTTGGGTCCCACTCCTGTGACACCTTCTTGCCCTACAAGACACAAAATTTATCCCCCGACGCCTGTCCCTAAAGCCAAGCACAGCCCTTCGGGGCTGTGCCACGCCCCAACAGCGGCCCTTTGTGACAGCGCCATCAGTGACATCACAGCAGCCACGGGACGCGTCACAAAAGCAGGACAGGGGCCCCAGAGCCGCAATCCCACGGGGAGACCCGTGGGATGCAAACACCGCTATTCCAGCCCCACCACGGCCCCGCTGGTGAGGCGTGGGGCGGCCCCGGAGGGACGAGGAGCCGCGGGGTTTCGGGGAGAGCTACCTGCAAACGCTTTGTGCCTCTTGCAGGGCGAGATGTCATCGAGGGAGGACACTCCGGAGCCGAGCACCTCTGCTGCCGGCACCAGCCAGGCGGCCCCGGCCGCGCCGCGGGACGACAACCGGGAGGACGCCGCGTGCCCGGAGTGCCGGCACATCAGCACGGCGTGCTCCAGCTCCTGCCGGCACTGCTTCTGCCAGCTGTGCCTGTGGGACTGGAGCCTGGGCGAGGCCACGTGCCCGCGGTGCCAGCGGCCCACGCGCCACCCCTACCCCCAGCACGTGGCCCTGTACCACGAGGTGCAGGAGCGGGTCTACGACGGGAAGCGGAGGTGGCGCGGCCACTCCGCGCGGAGCTGCTCCGGGCACGTCGGGCCCTGGGAGAGGAGGTCAAGGAGATCCGTGAGGTGGCCCCGCGATGGCCGCCGGCAGTCTCGGCACACCCGAGGCAGCGACTCCCCGAGGAGGAGGTGGTGGCAGCAGCAGAGAAGGGCTTGGGAGGACACGCCTGAGGAGGGACAAACTCCGAGGTTTGAATGGACCGTGCCGGCCTCCTCGCAGGCACGGCAATCCCAGCGCAGGTCCCGCAGGTCATGGAGCCAGCAGGAGCGGTCCCGGGGCCGCCGCGGGTGGAGCAGGGGCAGGGAGCGTTCCCGTGGCTGGGACGGGTCCTCCAGGAGAGAGCAGGAGACCCAGACAGACTCCCCCGAGCACTCGGCACGGCAGAGGCGCTGGAGGAGCTGGAATGCTGACGACAGACACACTCCAGGGCCCCAGCACGATGACCCCTCAGAGAGGAGCGAGACACACCAGTCGGAAGACTCCGATTCCTCCGGACAGCAGCACACAAGAAGGAGGCAAAGCCGGGGCAGATCCCTCAGGAGAGGCCAGAACTCCCAGGCAGGCTCCCAGAGAACGGTGCCCCACGCGCGCTCCACAACCCAGAGGCGCTGGAGGAGCTGGAACGCTGCTGACAGACACACTCCAAGGCCCCAACATGACACCCCCTTGAGGAGGAGCGAGAGACACCAGCGGGAAGAGCGGGATTCCTCCAGGCAACAGCACGCGACAACGAGCAGAACCCAGGGCAGATCCTACAGAAGCCAGAACTCCCAGAGAGCCTCCCAGGGAACAGCGCGCCGCCACCACTCCACGGGTCAGAGGCAGTGGAGGAGCTGGAATGATGACCGGGAACAAGCTCCAAGGTCCCAGCAGGACGTCCCGGGCTCCTCAAGGAGGAGCCGGCACCGGCGCAGGGACACATAGCCCACCCTCCCAAAATGGGAATTGCCACGCTGAGGCTCAGCCCAGGGTGTCCCGGCAGGCTTTGGTGATCTCCCACAATGGAGCCACCAGATCTCCCCCGGACATCCTGTTCCAGGGCTTGACTTGCTGCAAATAAACAAATGCCACTTGAGCCAGCACTCCCTTTCTTCTTGTTGTGTTTTTGCCACCTCAGGAGCCTCCACAGATATTTTGGAGCATCCCACGCCCTTGGGTTGCCCTCATGAGTTTCATCCTTTCGCTCTGTGATCTCCCCCAGCATCATTGAGTGGATCTGTGAATCAAGGAGCTGAGGGGCTCTTCCCCTCTCCATGCCCTCACAGCCTTTCCATGGAAACCTGACTTGGCTTTTGCCTTTGCTTTCCCTTCAGTTTTATTCAGGGAAGCTTTGCTGGGAGAAGTTAGTACCCCTTAGAAGAAGTTAGTACCCCGTAGGATTTTTTCAGCAGAGCCACAGCTCAGTACAGGAATGTTTTCCCCAAAAACCTACAGTGTGGCTGACACAAATCAGTGCTGGAGGTGCCCAAGCCCAGCTCCAGGGCCAAAACTTGCCCTGACCTTCTCTCCCAGCTGTCACCCAGCCCCTGTCCCCAGATGCCAGCCTTTGGAATCACCTCACTAACCTGCAGTGTCCCACTGACCTCCAATTTGGGGTGTCAGCATAGCTGATCATCCCCCTAGATGCATATTCAGCATGTGGGATGTGGATTTTGCCTATGGATACAGTCTCTGCTGGATGGAAGGAGCCTGGTCACACTGGATCCCTCTTGAACTGCAAGAAATAATTGGAAAAAAAGCCATAAAAATTCAACAAATGGTGAAAAGCAGGAGCCTGGGCACACAGGAGGTGGGCAAGGATCCTCAATATCCACATCATGCTCTGGTAGAGCCACTCCTCTGCTTGATCAAGTTTATTTTTCTTCCACAGAAACCTGCTTTAAAAGCACCTGGAATTCATTCATTTCCCCAGATTTACTCAGAAGGTGGGCTCTTGCTACCTGGAGACCAGACACAGCCTCAGGTGGGAGAAGCACTGCTCAGCACAGGAGGTGGCCACACACAGCACCAAAACTATCCTGGTAGTTTACCCCTAGATTTAATTTTTTCATTAAATACAAAACTTCTCCTCAGGTATAAGCTGATGGTTTTTTTATCTCCTGGAAAATCCTCTCCCTGCCTCTCTGAGCATGGTGCCAGGGACCTGGAAATGCTGGACATTCCCACTTGAACATACACAAATATTTCACCAGGAAAATCCTGGGAAAAAATGCAGCATTCCATGTGGATGGATGCTGGTGGCAGAGCCACTGCTTCAGGGTAACAACGAGTAAGAAAATGCAGACAATTTCTGCTGAAGTAAAAAACAAAACAAAAAACAAAAAAGGATCTGGGAAAAGTGCAAAGAGGCTGGAAGTCTGAGGGGAGTGCTGCCCTCGGAGGTGTCTGTCCCAGAGCTGCCCAGCCTGGATTCAGGAGGTCTTTACGAACACGGGCACCTCGGCCAGGCTGGCAGAGTAATTCCTGAGTGTGGTGCCACCATCAAACACTCGGGCAGTGTTGGTGTCCAGCCAGAGCTGCCCCTCTCCTGGCAGGTAGATATCCCTCCACGTTTGTCCCTTTTCTGTTATTGGAGCAACCAGGACCTGCAGGGAGAAGAAAAAGAAAGAAAAAAGAACTTCAGCAGAGGGAGGATTAGCCAGGGTGTGCGTGTGGGGATGAGATGGTCATCAGGGAATCCTGGAATGGTATGGGTGGGAAGAGACCTTAAAAAGCATCCAGTACCACCCCCTGCCATGGGCAGGGACACCTTCCACTAGCCCAGGTTGCTCCAAGCCCCATCCAACCTGCCTTGGACACTGCCAGGGATGGAGCAGCCATAGCTTCTCTGGGCACCCTGTGACAGGGCCTCAGCACCCTCACTGGGAATTCCTTCCCAATCCCATCTATCCCTGCCTTCTGTTAGTTTAGAAATATTAATGCAGTGCAGTGACATTCCTTTGATTGGGATCACCCCTGCCTGCAGCTGCCCCAAGATTCCATCCAATTTATATTTTTGAAAACCAGAACAGAAAAAAACCCATCAGAATTGTGTGTTTCT